CTCTGGGTGACCTTGCTTCAGCAGGTGGGTTAGACTAGATGACCCACAGAGGTCCCTTCCAACCCCGAACATTCTGTGATTCTGTACCTTTCCGATCCTGTGTATGTCCCTAGGCTGTACAGAGAGTCACCCGAGGGGCCGTCTTTGGTGCTCACCACCTGGCTCCCTCACTGCAACAGTTATCTTCACTTCAGGCACAGAGTTTTCTTTCCTCTCTTTTCTTCCTAGAAACGATGTCCGTGATTTTTTTCCACAGGCCTCCCACTGAGCCTTTGCTGTCCTCTTCCTTCCTGAACCGTGCATGGGAACTATTCCTTCATCCCAACCATGTTGTGAAGCCCTTTGCAGGCTTGCTTCCTTGTTTGCTTTCAAACTCATCCTACCATGTTACTTGAATTTAAAACTACTGCAGATATTTTTTTATTTTCATATCCAGTGTTTCTTGGCTGTCCTAAGAATTACTATAATCTGCGATAATTTTGAGGGAAACATTGGTGAATTTGCCCTGTGGCTTTGACAGTGTTTCTCTCGCTTCCTTATTCCCTTGCTCCAGCAGCAGGTAGAGTGCACACACAGACGTTAACACGGCCCTGGTGGAGTAGACCAACTCCATAGAGCTGCTTCCCTGTCCCTGGAACAGGACTGTAGCTGATGCTAGAGAATCAAGAAGTGAAACAGAGAAAGAGTAGGGTGATCCTACTTTGTATGTCCAAAATCCTCACACCCCTACAGAGTTCAAAGGTGTCTTAAGATGTTGATTGCCTCTGAACCATCGTTTCACCAGCAGCAGACCTGCACTCTGTGGATTGAGCTAACCCTTCCATAAGCTTTTCACACTTTTTGTCTCTCTGTAGCAATTAATAATTTGGGGTTTAAATTTTATACGGTCTGTGGGAACTATTTCTTCTCATTTACTTTACACCTGCCAAATTTGTGTGTTTGGGGTTTTTTTTTTGCACAGTCACACCACTGGCAACAGCATCCATCCTCATTTGCTTCTCTGATGCACTTATACATCGAAATTGATCTTCTCTTCTTTGTATCTGATGGAAGGATGTGTGTTGCATAGGTTCCATAATTGTTTTCAGTCATGGCCTTTCTGTGGCCGATGTCCTGGTGCCTGTTGCGTTTGTGTTGTCGTGAAAATACAGTAGTTGCATCATGACAGGACCTTAAGGACTCAAATGAAGTTTGGCAAGGTGAGGTGTGTGTGGAGTCATACCTGTGGCTGGTGTAAATCAGCACTGAGCCCTTGAATTCAGTAACTCCAGAATGATTTATACTGAGGAGGTGGCTGCCCTTTCGGAGGGGCCGATTTTCTGAAAGTCTTCCAACCAACTGTGACATATCAGACAGATGAAGAAACAACATGTAGTGTGATGAAACCTGAGACTTTTCCTCCTTCTCCAGTAGTTTTAAATGGGTTAGAGAAATCAGTGATCCTTGGTTCATTTTCCTTCTCTTTTCTTCAATTTTATTTTCTTCCCTCTTCCCTGACCACCATTGAACGGTGACGTCTGCCTTTCTGCCCATTGGTCGGAGAAGCAGTTGGCTTTATGCTCAACTGCGGTTGACGCTTTTTCTTGCATCCATCACTACTAACTCACTAAGAAGTCTTACCAGTCGAGTGTTCTTACAAATAGACAAAAGACCTTATACCCTTTGTTCCCAAATGCACTTCAGTAATTTTTCATCACTCTAGAAAAAAGTTGTGCGTAATGTGCCACTGATTTTTAAACTGCATAAATACTGTATTTTCAATAATCCCTGACTGCTTCTCCAGACAGTATTCCACACACCGATATTGTTCCCTAAGTTACACCATCAATCAGAAACCGACAAGCAGTGAGATGTAATTTACTGAGATCAAAGAGCATTTTCCAGACTCTGAAGAAGTGTTTTTCCATAGCAGGGAGCTAGTAGGTGAAAGAGGTACCAGTATTTTTGTGAGAAACTTGAACGTGTGAGCAGGACCATACGCATTTAGTGTGCTTCTTAGAAGCATCTTCTCCTTCGTTGTGCATGTTCTTGGAGGAGATGACTGCTTTTACTTTTTCCGTGTACAGGCAAAATAATATTCTCAGGCTGTTAGTCGATGATTTACACTCCCCTGACGTTTTTCTTCTGGTGCTTTTCACAGTCCTCAGAGGATTTGAGGTTTTTTCCTCTTTATTGTCATCCGTGTGAGTGCTGAGTCAGCCAGCAGCCCGTGAGCAGTGGATCCTGCATATTAAAGAGGGTGGTCCCTTCCCCCAAAGTACTGACTGCCCATGCTGCAAGTACCATCTCATAGCGAAGATGCATTCTTGTGCATTTCTCCATTGACTGTTGGGCTGAATGTTCTGTACAATGCCTGACTTCTTGTCTGAAGCCTGGTGACGTGTTTCTGCAGGGTTGGTGGTTGCTACTTGCTAAAGACAGCTCTAGTGCATGTTTTAAATAAACAAATCGTATTTTACTCCTTCCTTGTCTGTGGCTGGAGTGGTAACCATGCTCAGAGACTTGCTTTCTTTCTAAGAATATGTGTTCATAGATTTTAGGTCCAGAAGGGAACACTAGGATCATCTAATCTTACTTGCTGTATAATGCAGACTGTAAAACTTCACCTAATAACTCCTGCAGCAAGCCCATAACTAATTTTTTTAAGAACTATATGAAGACTTATGTATTGTTAATCCAGAAATTTTACAGGAAGGTAACACTGCATATAGAAGAGCAACAGGTCAAAATAAAAAACTCATTTTGCAGCCAAATTTTCAAAATGTTGGAAACGTGTGTCTTAAAAGTGGTTATTAAATTCCCAAGCACGAATCTGAGATGGTCTTACAACATGTGCAGTCTATTACCTACGCTTCAGTTGTAACTTCGGCTTGAGAGAGGTTTTGCCAGTTCATGTATTATATTAGTTAATATTTCACTAATTTTGTTCTGTGAAGTTAACTGCCTTCTTAGACCGGTTACATTGACAGGTAGGAGAGATGAGCTAGCAGACCTAGATTTACACTTTCTGTGGTTTTATGAATGATGCAAAGTTCTCAGAAAGCTTCTGACATTTGTGCGTGAGGTCATACCGTGTTACAGTGTGTTGCATGTAGTAATGGACTGACATTTTCTGAATGGCAAAACAACATCGGTCAACCTCCTTGCGATCTGAAGTGGTTCTAAGTAAAATGGTTTAGCTTCTAACTAAGCACAGCTGCTACCCTTCCAGCTGAAACTGGAAAAAATGGGGAGAAAAAGAAGATAAGCCAGTGACAAATGTCAAAAGAGTGTTTTCAGATAGCTCTCTTAGTTCACCAGGTCGTAAGTTTTATATAATAATTTCTAGGTAGGAAAGTGATTTTGTGCTCTGTACTTTCAAAGGTTTTTCCTCTGCTTTTTTCTGCAAGAGCAAAGAGAGGAAAAGATGTGTGAGGGGTTGTTCTCAATCCCTGTGTGTACAAAGCATACTTTAAAACATTTCTTTCTTTTTGGAAGAAGCCAAGCTGAGAGATCCTTGTGCAAGAAGTGGAGGAATTAGAATTGGATAGCACCTCCCGCTGATTTTGAGCCAGCCCCTCGTGCTCTTAGGTTTGTGAAATGCCTGCACAAGACCTTGGTTTGAGACAGCAAGAAAGCACAGGCCTGGATCAGGACAGGGTGCCTCTCCCAGGGTCCTGTTTCCACTGATTAGAAGTTGAGCATTTGCTTATCTGTGTGGGAATGTTTTCCAGTTTGGGACAGTGGCAGAAAAAAATCAACATTTGAAGACAAGGATGCAAAGGAGAAACATCTCCGTATTTGCAGACACCTTTGATTTTAAAGTAGTTACCTTGTCTTAACGTTGGCATGGAATAAAACCTCCTCTTTGTCATTATTATGCAAAATGTTGATATAATTATTCTGTGTGTCTGCATTCGTGGTGAAGGAGATGGCTGGCATTTAAAGTGTTGCTCTAGCTGCTGAATGGATTTTAATTTTTGTTTTCCTGTCTAAGTGTCAGGGTAGTTAGAAACACAAGTAATGAAGCACTGCAGCAGTGCTGTATTTGCAGCTTGAACATAAAGCAGGAGCTTGAAAGTGCTTGAAGCTGCTCCCAAACACAAATAAGAAAAACTGATAGAAAATGTGCATTTTGATACAGAAACGGTCAACAGTTTTGTTGTAAATCAGCAAACACCATTTTATGAAGGAGAACATTTCTGTTAACAGGTATTTTGTCAGCAGAACAGCTTCCAACACTTTCAAAACACTTTTTCGCACTCTGGTCTCGAAGTTACAGAACTGGTATCCCCGGTTCTACAGTTACGGAAATGAAAGCGGCACGGACGTCTCCAGGGGCTGCATTTAAAGACTCCCATTTGCTTGTCTGCTTGGACGCTGTGTGGAACACAGCGCTGAGCCGCTGGAGAAGCCCGCCCAAACGGGAGCAGCTCTGTAAAGAGACTCTTCCCAGTGGTTTCACAGTCAAGGACACGTCGGAAACAGTCTCCCTGCTTAAGACAAAAAGTTTCATTTGGGCAAAAGCGTTGCTGGAATGCAAGGGAATGCTGCGTGCACCAGAAACAC